CCACTAATGTTGTTAGCTACTGGCAGGGCTCTTTTTGTAGAAAAAGCCCAGCAGGAACTTATTAGCATAATAGGCCACACCAACAGCAGAAACTCATTAGCATATTAGGCCACACCCCTGACAGCACAGCTCATTACCACATTAGGCCGCACCCCCATGTTACCAGAAGTGTGGTTATCCAGCCACACCCACCTTTTGCTTGTTATTCTGTTTACCTTGTTTGTTATAAAAACCCAGGACTTTTTTTGTTGCAGGAACTCCTTTGCATGTTAGGCCACACACCCCTAATGTAGCCAATCCTAATGAGTTCCTGCTGTTGGGTGTGGCCTATTATGCTAATGAGTTCCTGCTGGGCGTGGTCAACTTGGGAGCCAGCCAGAACTCCATTCCTGTGCGTTCCTGCCCAAAAATAGCCCTGGCTGGATAGACTAATACTGAGCTACCCATCTTGATCATAACAAATGATCATAAGAAATCTTGACCATAACAAATGAAGGCAGGGGGAAAATGGAAAAATATTTATCTATATATCTGTTAAGAAACATAATAATGTAAATATTTTGAAGTAAATAGAACTGGGATAGCTGCCTTACTCACACTGAGATGTTCCCCTGTGGAGTAAGTGGGCAACTCATCAAGATGTAAAATATTTCATTTGTCTGTGGATCTAAAATACACATAAAACATGCAACCAAACAACTGCAAATTTAAAAGTCTACTAATTATTTTAGAGGGGGAAATATAGCCTACTTTAAAAAAACCCTTAACAGTACAATATTTAATTTCTTAGGTCCAATCTGCAATGCTCAAACCTCCAATGAATTGCTCAGGTACAACTAGAAAAGAATCAGCACCATAGTAGTCCACCCCCCTGAATATATGGGAAATGTGGGGGTGGGGGAAATGTGATGCAACAGGAGAGAGAAAGAAGGGTGGGAAATAACGCAGAGGTAGTCAGCAGCACCTGGGAGAGGAAAATTGCATCACCCTACTTGCATAGGTAAAGGTAAAGGTTCCCTTGCTCGAAAGCCAGTCGAATCCGACTCTAGGGTTGCGGTGCTCATCTCCGTTTCAAAGCCGAAGAGCCAGCGCTGTCCGAAGAAGTTTCCGTGGTCATGTGGCCGGCATGACTAAACACCAAGGCGCACGAACGCTGTTACCTTCCCACGGAAGTGGTACCTATTTATCTACTTGCAATTTCTTGCTTTCGAGCTGCTAGGTTGCACATCTTAATCCAAAAGCAGCCAAGTCCATCATAGACACAGCCAATCAATTTCTTCATTCAAACCTCTTGGAACCAGAATATCCAACATGAAGATCCAGAAGGAATCCCTTTTCTTCTGTTATATCCTGTTATAATAATATTGGGGGGGGGCTGTGCTCGTTGTCCAGGGCTTTAAAACTTATCATGATTCTTACTATCCTCCCAAACGACTTGCTGCCTTAGGTGAGTGGTGGTAAAGGGCAGGAGCACTGATACCTATTCCACCCCTTCCAACAAAATAAGTACCTTGCAGAGGAAAGTGTGTCTTTTCTCCCCTTTTGCCTCTTGTCTATGTAATGTCTCTCAGCCATGACTTCTAGATAGGGAAAGCCTGATCTGATGTTAACCCAGGACTTGCAAACACCCTGTTGATGTTGTGGGGATGGGAACACATGAAACTGCCTTATGCTGAATCTTACTATCAACGTAAATATTGTCTACTGTGACGAGCAGTGGGTTTCCAAGGTCTCACACAAAAGTCTTTCACGTCACTTCCTACCTGATCAGTTTAAGTAGTAACACCAAGGATTGAACCTGGGACCTTTGACACGCAAAGCTTTTTTGTCCTATTGTTGTCAGCCTTTTTGTACTATTGTTGTCAGATTTAGAACATGGTTTTGGGGAGATTTTTTGTGGGTTTTGTTTGTTTTTTGCCACTAAGTCATAGCCAACTTATGGTGACTCTGTAGGGTTTTCAAGGCAAGAGACATTCAGAGATAGTTTGCCATTGCCTGTCTCTGCATAGGGACCCTAGTATTCCTTGGTGGTCTCCCATCCAAATATTAACCAGGCCAAACTGCTTAGCTTCAGAGATTTGATGAGATCAGGGTTAGCCTAGGGTATCCAGGTGAGGGCATGCTTTATTTTATTGTATTCCTACCTTTTTTTAATTCATACCCTTTATTGGCTTGGTTAGAATGTAGTAGTACTACTGTGACACTAATAATTCCCTGAACCATTTAAACACTTTTGAGACTGTTGCAATTTGAGCACAAACCACATTGCACGGAACGTGACTCTCTTGGCATTCAGCAAAGGTGAAAACAACATCTCATCATGGGACATAGACTGAATGCATCCAACTTCAGGTTTGGTGAAACACTCAGTGATTGCTTCATTACATATGCAGATTCAGCTTTCTTTTTCCCGGCCTAATTGCGTCTCCTACTATGCAGATTTATAATAATTTTCAAAGACATCTGAAAATAGTCCAAAATCAACCCCAGTCTCCTCTGATGACATCTTGTTGTAGTGAATTCACCCTTAAGACTCCACAACATCAAATGCAAGATTACATTTACAAATTGTCTCTGCAGAAGTTAAATTGGGTGATGAAAGTGTGATGTGGTTAGTCTTTTTATCCTTATGGTACTCTTTGTAGTCAATTTAACGCAATGGTCATAAATCTTTGTTACCAATCACTGCACTGGGATCTGTGGTGGGAAATTCCATAGTCCCTAATTAGATTTTTCTCTGTGGCACTTCTAGTGGAAATACGCTAACGTAGGCTTTAGTTCTTTCTTAGGCCCGAGTGCTAAGGTGGCTGGATCCTTTGTACTGAAGTGATCCTGATTAATTATTGATAAATCCTGATTTAATGGCATGATGGCTAAGTAAAGGGATAGGATCAGGCTTCCCAAGTACTTACCGTGATTCAGCGGGGGACACAGACATCCTTGCAGGATCATTCCTGCGGCGACAAGAGATGCGCCGCACCATGCCGTCACCAGGAAGTGATGCTGGGCTCTGGCAATGGGGCTGGAAACTCAATGGTACCATCGAGTTTTCAGTCCCATTGCCAGAGCGTCGCCCAGCGTCACTTCCTGGCGACAGCATGATATGTTACAGGGAGGAATGGTCTGGCCGGGGAGCATGTTTCCCCCGCCGGATCATAGTAAGTACTTGGGAACCCTAGATAGGATGTTTTCACACTGAGGCAGCTATTATTGCCAGTGAGCATGATTAAGTCAAACAAGAATGATGCCCAGTCTTGTCCTTTGTCTGTCTGTTCTGCTGTTTTTCTTAAAGATGAACCAGAATTTGTTTTCTGGTCCTCATGTGATTGACAGTGGATCTTGGTCACATACTTAGAGAGAAAAGCCAACAAAATGGAGGCTTCAAGGGAGAGAGTTGGGATTTGTTATTTTTTTTAATTGAAGATGTTTTAAACTATTACTGTAAGCATCATTGCACCAAAAGGGAAAATGTGTTATAAATGTTCTAATAAATAAATAACAATGAACATGACCTTAAAAAGAACCCATAACCTGCAGTTGGTGCAAAATGTGTCAGATAACTTTGACTGGAACTAGATTATTTGAAGAAATAATAACTCTCCTGGAACACTTTTATTGGCTCCCTACTTCTGTGTTCAATTTAAGATGAATGTTTTTTCTTTTCAAGCCGTGCATGGCCTGGGGCCCATATGCTTGAAGGACTAACTCATATGACAACTGCAGGCTTCCCAAGTACTTACCATGATTCAGCAGGGAACACAGACATCCTCGCAGGATCATTCCTGCGGGGACAACAGACGCACCACACCATGCCGTCACCAAGAAGTGACGCTGGGCAACACTCTGGCAATGGGGCTGGAAACTCGATGGTACCATCGAGTTTTCAGTCCCATTGCCAGGGCGTCACCCAGTGTCACTTCCTGGCAATGGCATGGTGTGTTACAGGGAGGAATGGTCTGGCCGGGGAGCATGTTTCCCCCACCGGATCACGGTAAGTACTTGGGAACCCTAGACAACTGTGTCAACTCATATGACAACTGTGTTCCTCCCAGCACATTCCAACTATGGTACCACCACATAGGCTGATGAAAACTGCCTCAGCGTAATTGTGGGCTTCCTCTGTAGTTAAATAACATCTAGGATGGCTTTTCAGAACTGGTTAGAAGGTCACCTTCTCTTTTAGCCTTCAAAAATTCTATGAGGCAAAGCTTTTTAGGAAGACTTCTGAGAAAGTTATCAGTATCCTGTGACTCTACCATGGACCTTTCTGAAATGTTTACACTTGTTTTGATGTTGTTTTTAATTTTTATTAATTAGATGTGTTTCGTAAGACACCTTGAGTCCTTCAATGAGGGGGAAAGTGTGGAATATCAATTTTTAAATGAATATATTCGTGGTGGTTGTGGAAAGTGTTGTCAAGTCACTGGATTTATGACATCCCTGTAGGGTTTTCAAGGCAAGACATGTTCAAAGGTAGTTTGCCATTGCCTGCCTCTGCATAGCAACCATTGATTTCTTTGTTGGTCACCCATCCAAATACTAACCATGGCTGACCCTGCTTAGCTTCCAAGATCTGACAAGATTGGACTAGCCTGGGCCATCCATGTCAAGGTGTGAAATATTCAATGCTCCCTCTAAGCTGTGGAGTCTTGGGAGAAAAAAAATCTACTTGGTGAGCTACTGGCATTAAAAATTTGAGCAAGCTATTTGGCTACTGCATGAATTAGTTTGCTCTGGAGTCATCCTTCCTGAGCTAAAGCTAGAGGCTAAAAAACTGTGAGCTAGCTCACACTAACTCAGCTTAGAGGAAACACCGTTACTGTGTAGAATTTTGCTTATCCACAATCCATGTTTTGATGAGACTAGTCTTAAGACCAGAAGTGATGCTGTCTCTCTCTGTGTTTTGATACATTAGATACCAGTAATTACATATGCAATAACCACCTCCCCCCCAAAATATAAATTTCTGTCAATCTGATAATTGCTGCTTTCCACTTAAGGTGAATTTGGAGAAGTGTGCAGTGGTCGCTTGAAGACACCTGGGAAGAGGGAGATTCCTGTTGCCATAAAAACATTGAAAGGGGGCTATGTGGACAGACAGAGACGAGATTTCCTACGAGAAGCTAGTATCATGGGACAGTTTGACCACCCAAATATTATCCGCCTTGAAGGAGTGGTTACAAAAAGTAAGTTGTCTAGAGTTCTTTGTTGTTTGTTAAATTATTTTTGCTGCCTTTACCACAATCCAGGTAAAACCATCCATGTACACATACAGGTTTCCGTGTGTTTAATAAGTACAGCAGGCCCCTATCCAGGAATTTTTTCGAGGGGGGAGAAAGAGAGAGTAAGGCAGCTTCATAACACACAATTAAATTTTTTGGGGGTAGCCAGCTTTAAAAGGGAAAGCTGAGTTCTATCAATGACTATAGAAAGCAACCCCCCAAACATCGACTCCCCCAGCAGTATTGTCACATTAACAAGACTGTAAGGCAGCTTCATATTACACAGACACCCCGTTGGCCCCCCAAACAGGACTGAGCTGAGCTACAGGCTCCAGAAGTTCCTCCTTCTGGAATTAAGGAACTCTGCTGAGGCCACGTGGCTACAAGCTACAATGGCTAATCCCCACCCCGAGGACAACGAGAAGATCCAAAAGGAAGGAAGGTTAGTAGTTGCGGTGGCAGGGCAGCTTAAGCAAGCTGCCTGCAATACACCTGCAAAAATTCCAACCTAAAGGGGAAGATTGGGGTGGGGGAAGTCAGGGATGGGGGTCTTGAAGATTTGATGGGGGCACTGCCTGCTGGCTACAGACCCTTGCTGGCTACAGACCTGAAGTAAAATGAGAACAATAAGATGCTGTAAGTAGTTCTGGTTACTTAATTGAAAATACAAGCACATTGTTCAACTGTATATAGGTAATAAATGTGTAGGAAGTGCGTACTCCTTTGGAAATACATGCACAGGAACTCAGTCTCTGAGTTGGGGCTAATTTTTTTTTACTTGATGGAACTATCCTGACATCTAATTAAAGAACAAGTTTCCAATCTCTATCATAAAATCCTCCATAACATCTTCAATAATATAAAGTAAACAAACCGGGAAGCTTGTTTACAAACTGAACCAGTTTGTATGATTCCCTGCAAACCCCATTGAAAGGGACTTTCAATGGGTTTTTCAGAAAGCCCAAAAAACAGCTGAGTGACTTCCCTTCCACCTTTCTGCTGCCTGGGGCTTTGCAATAGCAGAGAGACTGTCAGGATATAAGGAGTAACTTACACAGAGAGATGGAAGCACAACAAGAAAATGAGAGAAGAATTCAGTAGGCTCTGAACAATATAATTACAGCTCCTCCTAGAGTTCAAGTGGACTAAACACACATATATACATTATTCAACCAGCTCGTATGCTATTGCATCTCCAGTAGGTGCCTCGTTATCCTTACATTTTATTATGCAGCATCCTACAATTTTGCTGTACATCTTTCTCTTTTCATTATTTAAACAACACTATAGGGTTCCTTAGTAATTCATATTTTAATACTTTGCTATAATTTTCCTTCCACAGCGTGCAGTTCAGCGTCTTAATCACTTGAGCCACCGCAGCTCCTATAGAACCATTAAATGTCCATAAAAGCTTTTGGTTCCTTTTTACATCTCAAAAATTTTGCATAGCCTAAATTGTGAGTTTTCTGTAATGTACATGGTGTTTGCTAGCATCAAATATTGTTATATGGGTATTTATCTAGAATTGTGCACAGAAATGTGAAGGACATCCTTTCCACATTCAGTACTATACATCTTCTCCATTTTGTCTGATGTGGATGGATGACCAAAGGATTCTCTTGTTCTTGAGCAGTAATTTACAAGAAGTATACATCAATCTTTTTACAGGAATTGAATGGATCCTTTAATCTAATGGTTTTATCTAATTGGTATTTGAGTGCATTTTTTTTTATTAAAGAGGTATCTTATTTGAGAGTACTGATAGAAAAAGATCTTGATATGGAAATATAGGATCACTGCCATTCAAACATTTGATCTTGAATTTATATTCCAAATGTATATATTTCCCAGAACATTCAGACCTGCAATTTTATGGTCCCGGTCACACGCGCGAGATAATGCATGGGGGAAGTGAGGCTATTTACCCCGGAAGAAATTGACCCTCAGTTGTGTGATCACACAGTTCTTTGAAGCTGCGGGCATAGCCCACCACTGCGTGATCACTGGTGAGTTGGGGGGGTTGCTGTTTGTTTTCGATTTGCTTAAACGTAGGATCAATGAATTGCATCTCCACACTGAGGGCTTCCTACGGTAGTATGTGATGATGCGCATACTGAGAAAGGAGAAAAAACAATGGCACGGAGTTAGGATGGCCTGATCAGACCATCCCGACACCATGAGAGCACACTGGAGCGATCACACAGGGGAAAGTCCATCTGTGGCCCGTAGCAACCCATTTGATACTAGACTTTCCTCGGTATTTTTTAACTCCGTTTCTTCGGCGGAGCAAGACAGGTTGCTGATGGGTGTGGGGCGCTTGCCAAATGTTCCTGTGTGATCGAACCCTTAAAATCCGCCCAGCATTCATGCCTATCACACAGCTAATTCTGCGTGTGATCGGGACCTAGGTGTTAAGAGCTAAACATTAGAGCTTAGGTTTCTGTCTAGACATTGCAAAGCTAATTGTGTTTCCTTATTTCACTAAATATTTACTTACTGTCTGAAACTGAAGCACAGTGTGGAAAAGTATTATTAGGTCCCGATCACATGGGCCAGGAAAAGTGGGGGGGAGCGTGGTTGTTTGCCCTGGAGCAAAATAACGCGCGGCCGCCCGATCACATGTCCCATCGAGGTCTCGTGGTTAGGGGGTGAGGTGCCAATCACATGGCTCCCTTGTTTGCGAAGGAACATCGGCGGGCGCCAGATGCCACGGGAGTCCACCGGAAATGCGATCAGACGCCCGCCCTTGCCCCGTGGTGTCTAGAAACCAGTACCTCGTAGGTACTAGTTTTTTAGTCCGCATCTTTGGCAGGACGCCACGGGATAGCCACAGGAGCACTACGCTTCCCAGATGTTGCACTATGATCGCGCCCAGAAAATCCGCCTGTCATCCATATCTTTAGTGCGGCAAATGCTCCGTGTGACCGGGGCCTTAGATGTGCTGGCTCAAATACTGTATTAGGTCACCTTTCTTTCTGAGTGGTTGTTTTTGTTTATTGTATATTGTCGTACCTCACTATCTTGAAAAGGCACCTGTATTGAGGTTTTGGTTAAATATACATTCATTTGAATTGGATAGATTAATCAAAAGTCAGTTAATTCTTGTCTAACTTATGGGCTTAAAATGTAGGGTTTCATTTTGAAAACTGCTTACACTAAAGTTCAGTTCTGTTCTATGTTTCTGAGCTGAAACACAGTATCACACAATACAGGGTAATTATCAGCTAGAATCTGACACTGAACTTACTGAGACGTATACCACTATAAGTGGTTAATGAATCACTCCCTGACAGTTAAAAACAGAGTTGATCTGCAGTGCTTAGGCACACACTTTCCCCCACTGTTAGCCATCAGTTATTAAGTTGTAACCATTACCTGTATATATACTGCCAGTTAGTAGACATTGTGATCCATGGCAATGTTTTTATCCACTGACCTGAAAAACTCCAACTCACTGGATTGCAATAACTTTGAAAGTCTATTCTGTAACTAATTATCGATGAACAAAACAACTAAATGATCCCATACACTACAGAAACAGGAGATATTTATAATACCAAGGAAGCAAACGTTTCACTAATATCACATTCAATTGCATCGTATGTGATCTTCTAAGGATCCTAACTACCAGCTTTCTGAATTATTTTCTCAGACTTCAGCATTTCTTCTTTAAAAATAAACATCATGTAGATAATTTCCCATTTTAACTGTATTGTCTCACAACAGTTTACCTGTCCAGTCTAGCCCAATATGCTGAAACTGCAGATTCTGAAGTATTTTCATCTAGCTGAACCAGAAATCTGTAGACTTTTTGGGATGCAGCTTTAAATTGAACATGACTTGTAATCTGTTGTGGCCGCATCAGCTATGCCATTTGTACCATCATCTGTGCCCTATAAATTGTGCCACAGCTATTCAACAAAAGAACAAAGCAAGACTTCACTCACAGTGGTTTTGCTTTATAAAATGTATTGATTTTGTGAGTTTAGTTTCAAGAGACTGGATTTGTTTTATTTAATATCCATTGACCAATATGTTGAACGATGGAGGAATTCTGTGGGTTTTTTTGTTTTATAGTTTGTTTGTTTCAGTCCAGGCTGCTTTAGTGATTGTTTTCATCCTGACTTTGGAAGTATCTCTTTATGTACCAGTTTTGAATTTCACACTGAGCTTGTATGGCTGAGTTTACAACTGTCTGTAACAACACTTTCTTTCCAAAATGGCTGTGGAAGAACATGCATCTTGATCAAATGTTGACAAAGTTAGCATATGAACAAACTCTCCTTGGCATTAATTTGACTTCCAAATTGCATGAGATGCTGGCATTACATGAGCCCAAGAAAGTCATTGTTCAGTAAAATCTTTGCAGCTGCCTTTCTTTTTCCTCAAAAGGGCTTCAATTCATTAAAATACATTCGCAAGCAATCACTGCTTTCAAAATCAAAAGGTTATTCAGATTCAACTATGTAAATTATTTTTAAAATGACTTTTTTATTTATGAATTGAAACATTTTTGTCCTATCCTTCCAAGCTCACCCTGGCTAACAACAACAACAAAATACTTATTAAAATCCAACTTAATAACAAAGTAGAAATCCTAAAATATAAAAGATAAAATTTTCAGCCTGTAGCATAAAATAGAGCTCTCAATAAAACAAGTCAGTTCAACTTATCAAATCCCAGCTTTCAGGAAAATCTCTTTCAGTTATCATGGCTCTACAAACAGCTGGGTGGGATGGGGCTTTCCAATCGAGGTATGGAATCCCATTCCAGAGTGTGGAGGCAAAAACAGGGAAAAAACCTCTTTAGTAGGTGGCAATGGTATGTAATGTTGAGATGGCCTGGGAGATGGGTTTATACATGGAGATTATTCTTTTATTCTAAGAGGATAAGTACCATTCTCCATAAATTCCAGATGATAACCATGTTTGAAACAAAAATACCTTGAAGACCAACTAAGCCTA